TTGAGCAACACCCTCTGAGGAGATTGTTGTTGTTGTTAAGTATAGTCGAGTTGGTTCTGACTCATAATGACCCTCAGTTGGTTTCTGAGGACCGGCTGGTAGGTTTGAACCACCAACCTTAAAGCTCAAACTGACCTTGAGGTCCAGCGCATTATCCTGCAGCACCACACTAAGAATATATTCATGACTTCATGGGAGGCAAAGGTTTCTTTAATAGGATACAAAAAACTCTAATGGTGAAGATAAATACAATGGTGGTGACAGTAGTTATGTGCCATGGAGTCAGTTCCAGCTCATAGTAACCCTGTATAGGGTTTCCAACGCTGTAAATCTTTATGGGATCAGAAAGTCTCATCTTTCTCCCATGCAACAACTGGTAGATTTGAACTGCTGACTTTGCAGTTAGCAGTCCAGCTTGTAACCCACTGCACAACCAGAGCACCTTAAAAATAGTTTCCTACAAGAAAATGACAGACTTCTGTTTATGAAAAGGGAATCATTTTTCATGAACAGAAGAGCCACATTATAGTCATAGAAGCTATCAACAAAACATCCAAACAACAGAGGATTCTAATCCTGAATATAGAAGAACTTCACCCTCAGTAAGAAAAAGAACAGCAGTAGAAAATAAAAAAGGACTTTAGTTGACAGCCACAGGAAGGATGGACAGAAGACCATCAAACATTTTGGAAGTGCTCGATCTCATTTGTCATCAGCAAAGTGCCAACAGTATCTACTCTTGGATGCCGCTGTGAACCACTGCCTTCCTTTCTACCTACCTGCCTGTTGTTGGATCAGTTCTGACTCATAGCAGCTGTCAAGGAAGGACAGAATACAGCTGCCCCTTAGGGTTTCCAAGGTTGTCGTCTTAGGATGTCTGTGGTCATGCCACCCGGAATTCGCCTGATCTCTTCAGATCTCAGAAGCTAAGTAGGGTCAGGCCTGGTTACTATTTGGGGTCCTGGTTTGGTGCTATGCACCGGACTGCAATTTGATTTGAATCACAAGGATGGTGGTTCAAGCTCACCAGCCATTCCTCAGAAGCCCTATGCAGGGTCTCTATGGGCCAGAACTGACCTGACAACACTTAACAACAATCTTAGGATAAGCATTGGACTTTTAACCACAAGCTGGGTAGTTCAAACCTACCACTCCATAGGAAAAGGTGAGGTTTTACAGTCTCGGAAATCCTGTCCAGGGTCACTATGGGTCGGAACTGACTCGACAGCACTTAAGAAGAACGATCTTAGGATAAGCATTAAACTTGTTTCTACAGTCTCAGAAACCCTATCCAGGGTCGCTGTGAATCAGAATTGGCTTGATGGCAATGGATTTGGTTTTCCTATAATCTCCACAGAAGCTGACTGCCACATCTGTTTTCGGCGGTAGGCTCAAACTACCTACGGTTCAGTTAGCAGGCAAGTGCTTAAATACTGAGCCAGCAGGGCTCCTATGAACCTGCTGTTGTAAGGGTCATTTGTTATTAGGTGGTATTGAGTGGGTTCCAACTCATAGTGACCCCACGCAAAACAAAACACAATGTTGCCTGGTTCTTATCAGTGCTCACAATGGCTGCTACATTTGAGCCCATGTTGGAACCACTGTATCTATCTATTTCGTTCAGTTCCTAAATAGAGACCCTATAGAGCAGGGGTGTTGTTGTTGTTGTTAAGTGCCGTCGAGTTGGTTCCAATTCATAGCAACCCTGTGTAGGGTTTCCGAGGAGCAGTTGATGGGTTTGAAACACCGACCTTGAAGCTCAAACCAACCTTGTGGTCCAGTACTTGACCTACAGTGCCATACCAGGACTCCAATAGCAGGAGTGAGGAACTATTTTACTGCCAAGACCATTCTGATTATTTATAACATCACTTAAGAGAAATTTACGTTGCTATGAAAAAAATCTCCTAGATTTGGTGGATCTGAGATGCATTTGCCTCTGTTCACTTCTCTCCCCTTAAATAAAATATAAGGGGGTGCAGGCCACACCCCAGGGACACCTCCCTTCTATCTGATCAGGGCTGAGACCTGAGTAAGGGTTTGCATCCCACCCTAATCCTACCGTATCAGCACAGCAAATTTAACCTAATCCTGTCTACCTAATCCACCCTTATTAACTGCAGACAGATTAGGATTTGCAGTTCATGGGACAATTGCAGCTGATCACAAAGTGGAGGCGCTAGCACAATCCTGGGAAGCCTACTTTAGGTCATTGACATGTATTTTTGGTATACATAGTTCATATACCTGACAGGCAATATACCTTTAGAGTTTCCTTTTTAACTTAATATATTGTCATCGTTGAGGGTGTGTACCTTTGAGTTCCAATTTACAGCAACTCTGTATAGGGTTTCCAAGGCTGTGAATCCTTACAGGAGCAGAAAGCTTCATCTTTGTCCTGAGGAGCGGCTAATGAACTTAAACCACTGACCTGGTGGTTAGCAGCCAAATGCATGACCCACTATGTCACCAGGGCTCCTATGAAGCAGTTAAAGCTAGGGGGAGGATGATATGGTTGATTTGAACCCACCCAGTGACTTTCATGGGAGAAAGACCTAGTCATCTGTTTCTGCAAAAATTTTTGTTAGATGCCATCAAGTTGGTTCCAATTCATAGTGACCCTGTGTAGGGCTTCCAAGGAGCTGCTGGTGGGTTTGAACCACCGACCTTGTGGTTCGCAGTCGAACGCTGCTCCTACAGTGCCACACTAGGAGTCCACAATGGGGCAGTGCCACTCTCTTACATGGTGTCTCTGTGAGTTGAAAATCGACTCAGCACTTAGATGAACTAGGGAGGAAGGACCTGTGATCAGCTTCTTAGAATCCACCAGGGACAACTGTGTGGATCGCAAGAGTCTGATCCACAACCATTGGGCAGGGTACAAAGCCAGGCCGCATTTCATTCTGTGTGCATGGGGTCACCATGAGTCAGCAACTACCAACAACAGAAAGAGAATCCAGCCAAGGAGATTAATGAGAAGTCAGTCAAATAATTCCCTCATGCAGTGTGACTAGGTCATAGATTAGAACACGGTACTTCTTTCAGACCTGGAGAAATGTAGAATGCCAAAAGCTGAGTTGTGAATGATGGATTTGATTTTCAACAGTGAAGTGTAGACATCATTCAGAATACCCAGATGAACCTTTGGAACCCAGAACCTTTTAGAACAATTCATTAATTTGTTTGAACCCATCTGAATTAGTGAAAACAATAGTTTGATAAAGTCAGAAATTCTTTGCTATCCAGCCTGGTACTTTTCATTTTACTATAGGTTAAGAATTCCTCTGTTTGCTGATCAAATGACTTCTGGGTAAAATGCCTTCCACTGATCTCAATCAATGATATTCAGCTAAGTGATAACATATCTGTTGTTGTTAAGTGCTGTCAAGTCAATTCCAACCCATAGAGACCATGTATAGTTTCCAAGGAGCAGCTGGTGAACTTGAACCACAGACCTTGCAGTTCAAACAACTTTGCAGTCTGATGCATTAGCCCACAGCACCACACCAGTTGTTGTTGTTAAGTTCCCTTAAGTCAGTTCTGACTCAGATCAACCCTGTGCACAACAGAACAAAACACTGTCTAGTCCTGCTCCATCCTCACAATTGTTATGTCTGAGCCCAGTGTTGCTGCCGCTGTGTCAACCCACCACATTGGGGTCTTCCTCTTTCACTGATCCTTTACTTTACCACGCTTGATGTCCTTCTCAGGAACTGGTCCCTCTTGACCACATGTCCAAAGTATGAGAGTCTAAGTCTCATTAGCCATGTTTCTAAGGAATATTCTGGATGTGTACTTCTTCCAAGATACATTTGTTTGGTGTTCTAGCAGTCCGTGGTGCTTTCAACACTGTACTCCAAATGCATCAATTCTTCCTAAGTCTTCCTTATTCACTGCCCAACTTTGACATGCATATGAAGCAACTGAAAATACTTTGGCTTGGGTCAGGTGCACCTTAGTCCTCAAACTGACAGCGTTAGTCTCTAACACTTTAAAGAGGTCTTTTGCAGTTGTTGTTGTTGTTGTTGTTGTTGTTAGGTGCCATCGAGTCAGCACTGACTCATAGCGACTTTATGCACAGCAGAACGAAACACTGCCCAATCCTGGGCCAACCTCACACTGTTGCTACGCTTGAGTCCATTGATGCTGCCACTTGGCCAATCCATCTCATTGGGGGTCTTCCTCTTTTTCTCTGACCCTCCACCTTACCAAACATGATATCCTTCTTTAGTGACTGCTCCCTCCTGACAATATGTCCAAAGTATGAGAGACGAAGTCTGGCCATCTTGGCCTCCAAGGAGCACTCTGGCTGCACTTCTTCCAAAATGGATCTATTGGTTCTTTTAGCAGCCCATGGCACTTTCAATATTCTCCAACACCATAATTCAAAGGCATCAATTATTGTATGGTCTTCCTTATTCACTGTCCAGCTTTCACATCCATACGAGGTTATTGAAAATACCATGGCTTGGGTCAGGCGCACCTTAGTCCTCAAGCTGACATCTTTGCTCTTCAACACTTACAAAAGTTGCTGTGCAGCAGATTTGCCCAATGCAATACATCGTTTGATCTCTTGACTGCTGCTTTCTTGAGTGTTGATAGTTGATCCAATGAGAATGAAGTCCTTGACAACTTCAACCTTTTCTCTGTTCATAAGAATGTTGTTTATTGGTCCAGTGATGAGGAGTTTTCTTTTCTTTTCATTGAGATGTAATCCATACCGAAGGATGTGCTCTTTTGCAGTAGTTTTACGTACTACAGCACATTGCATGATATGGACTGCTGTCTACACGAGTGTTAATCGCAGATCCAAGCAAAATGAAGTTTATGACAACTTGAATCTTTTCTTCATTTGTCATAATATTTATTGGTCCAGTTGTGAGGATTTTCATTTTTTTTTACACCGAGGTGCAATCCATACTTAAGGCCATAGTCCTTCATCTTCATCAGTAAAGTCAAAGCAAAACAAAACATGAGTGTGATTCCAGTGTTTCCCGCAGGCCTTGATGGATGAGATTCTCATGCTTCAAGATGAAATCAACGAGCTCCAGTCATCTCTCGCAGAGGAGCTGGTGTCCGAATCTCTGGAGGCTGACCCTGCCGAACAGCTGGCCTTGCAGTCCACGCTCACGGTCTTGGCTGAACGAATGTCCACCATCAAAATGAAAGCATCGGGGAAGCGCCAGCTACTAGAGGTAATTCTGGAGGGACCCCTCATGTCTGAATTAGTGATGTAAGTTGTGTTCACAAACCTGTGACTTCCTTATGTGATCTCTGTTTACATTGCATTCCACTTGGAAGATGTCGGTGTTGTGTTTCAAGAATGGTTTTGTAACTAAGGCATTGGGCCAGTGTGTCACCGTGACTGTGCCCTTTACTCCTTTCAGACTCATTTCAGGCATGGTGTATTGAGAAGGTGAAAAGCACATACCTGGGCAGGAAAAGCCTTGTAACATGATCACTGAAGGTCTGAATTACGGTTTGGTGTGTGGAAATAGAGGTGTCCTGGTAGCACCATGGCTTAAGCACTTGGTGGCGCAAACCTACCAGCTATTCCACAGGAAAAAGATGTTTAAATAAGAATTTTCTAAGACTAATTCTCAGTATTGCTAGATCTACGAAAAGTAGACTTTAATTAATCCCTGAGAGTGAATCTATAGTTACACAAATGCTATTTTAATTCTAGTTCTTATACTACTTACTTGAAATATTATTTAATAGAGACAAAAGTTTTGGAAACATATGTTCAAAATAATCTGTTTTTGTTTTTTCCTTTATGATCTTGGCCATGAGCATATACGTATCTAGTAATGTTCCTTAAAGACCTTTACAATCTTTGTCTTACTGTGTCTCCAGATCCTAGCCACACAGAATCAAGTATCTCAAAACGGTTATCAATACAATTTATTTTAGATGGACTGAGAAATATTTTCAAGTGCCTTTTTTTTTTTCGTATTTCAATTATCCATGACCCTGGATTTGCATATGTAGGCTAGTTCTAGTTTTACTTACTAAAAGATTGGTAAAATCCTATATTTCTTGTTTGGGAAAAATTTTAAATTAGTGTGTCAGCCTTACTGATAGTCTTCAATTGAACTAAATATTATTATTATTAACAGGAATTTTTTTTTTAAATAAGGTATTTAGAGTTTGTTATTCTAAGACCTGACTCTTTAATTCATCACCATTGTCCCCATTCACTCTGGGGAAAACTTGTGTGGTTTCAAAGTGAAGCATTTGACATGGATTTTTTTTTTAATATGAATTTTTTATAATCGTTAAAAAGTGAACGAGAGATCTCAACTAAAATTTTGGATTTCAGCTTTTTCTCAAAATCTAATGACACTGATTTCCTTCGTAGATTTCCACTCAAACCACAATATAAGGTTCAAAAAACAAACTACACAACCCACACTGTGACGCCTCTTCCTACTGGGGATCGCTTTTCTGAAACAGCGTAGAGGCTGAGCCTTGCGGGTCTGACACATTTCACTTTGCCATAGTCCCCACCAGTCCCTTTACTCCACAGACATTGTAACCAAGCACCTGCTGCCATTTACCAACTGCCTTGTACCATCATTTTGTTCCAGTTCTTGGCCTTTTTTCTTCATTTCCATTATCTGCTTGGTCTGGTAGGCAAATTATTTGTGAATCTTTGCTCAATGCTAGCTGCATCTTCAAATCATCATGAAGCTTTTCAAAGACACTAATCTCACAATTTCCCCTTCCCCAGACATTCTGATTTATTGCCCTGGAAATATGGCCTGACCATAGGTAGGTTTTGAATTTTACACAGGTGATCCTGATAGACGGGACAGAGAACCATTGCGGGTGACAGCTGACTGATGATGGTGTCTTCAGTTGATCCATGTTACATTTTAGTTTTATGTTTAAATTGTTTTATTGTGAATTGAGTGAAGGTTTACAGAGCAGATCATCAGTGTTGCATTCAGAAAATCATATACTTAGTTTCGTTACAATGATTGTAATCCCCTCTATGTACCAACAATTAACAGCATTTACCTCTATTCACTTTAAGGACTGCATTCCTTCCTGTGTCTCCCGCTCCCTTCATCTTTCCCTCTTGCTGTATATTGCCTACCTTGCCACCCATGTTAATACCAGGTTACATTTGAATCCATTAGGAGAAACTAAATGATCAGCTGGAGGAACAGAGGCAGGAGCAAGCCCTGCAGAGGTACCACTGTGAAGCTGATGAGCTGAACCACTGGCTCCTGAGCACTAAGGCCACATTGGACATGGCGCTGGGCACGCCCAAGGAGCCCATGGACATGGAAGCTCAGCTGGTGGACTGCCAGGTACTCACAGGGTCTCAAAGGCAGGTCCCCACATCACAAGTACACTACAGATTAGTGTTGTTAAGTGTCACTGTGTCGGTTCCAACTCAGAATGACCCAGTGTGGTGAAAAGGCTTTTTATGAGATAGGGCTTTCTAAAACTCATGTACTTTTGCATTTAGAAAGTAGAAAAATAATACATTATTAAAGCTGAAATGAAATCCAAACTTGGACTTGGTCTTTTGAAAAATATTACCAGAAGTTTCTCTTTCTTAAGAAGCTCTTTAGCTTCCTAAAGGACATTTAAAACATTTATGGAGCTGTAGGATAAGCACTTGGCTGCAAGGTTGGCAGTTCAAACTCATCAGCCACTCCTCAGAAACCCTCTATACAGGCTCACTGTGGGTCAGATAGACTGGATGGCACTTAACAACAGCAACAATAGGAGCCCAAATTCTGAAGGTATCGATATTTAATAGTTAATTTAGGAAAGGACCACGGTGAGAGGAGATGGAATCCTTGAGTCCGACAGTAGAAACACAGCAGGAATTGTCCAAAGGGGCTGTGTTGCAATTTTGGTTCTAATCCCGATAACTTGTTTGAAAAACATAGAAACTCTTATGTGTAGACAGGAAAACTAACCTGGGAAATGTATCCATCCAGTCAAATATAAAACATAGGTCTCCAGGGATTAATATGAGGCTTACTTGCATTAAGGTTTGATTCTAATTTTGTTTTCTTACTTTTTTATTATGGAGATGTTCAAGCACATATGTAAGTATAGAGAATAGACCAGGAAGCCCCGTGTACCCATCATGGAACTTTACATACATGAGTGACCTATCCCTTCTCAGCTTTTTCATTTAAATAACAAGCAAGTCTCTAGACAACCTTACCTAACCTGCAGGTTTAGATATCATTATTCATGACTTTATAGTTCTCTCACTTCAAGTCAGGATGTACGCAGAAAGGGATTGATGAATGGATGGTGGTGGTAGTTATATGCTGTGGACTTGGTTTTGACTTACAGTGACCCAGTATAGAATTTCTGAGGTGGCAAGTCTTTATGGGAGCAGAAAGCCTCATATTTTTGCCTATGGAGCAGCTGGTAGATTCAAATCGCACACCTAACTGTTAGCAGCCCAATGCATAACCCACTATGTTACCATAGCTCCTTAATTAAAAGTACTCCAGCACTTAATTAAAAGTAAACCATAAGGTCTGCAGTTCAAACTCACCAGCCGCTCCTTGAAACCCTCTGCAGGGTCGCTGTGAGTCGGAACAGACTCAACAGCACTTAGGGACAACAGCAAGCTTTTCTTCTAAGTTATTATGGAACGTATCATTTCGGTATTGCTACTTACGATATGAGAGTCCTTATGCGGATTCATGTGGTGCTGTGGGTTAATGTGCCAGAACGCAAACCTGTTTGAACTGCAAGGTTGGTAGTTCAAGCTCACGAGCTGCTCCTTGGAAACCCTATACAGAGTTGCTATGGGTCAGAATAGACTTGACGACACTAAACAACAACAACAATGCTGATTTGTGAATAAGGAAGACTGTAGAAAAATTGATGCTTTTGAGTTATGGTGCTGGAGGAGAATATTGAAAGTGCCACAGGCTGCCAAAAGAACCAATAGATCCATTTTGGAAGAAGTGCAGCCAGAGTGCTCCTTGGAGGCCAGGATGGCCAAACTTCGACTTTCATACTTCAGACATATTGTCAGGAAGGACCAGTCACTGAAGAACACTATCATGTTTGGTAAGGTGGAGGGTCAGAGAAAAAGAGGAAGACCCCCAACGAGATGGATTGGCCAACTGGTAGCATCAATGGACCCAAGCATGGCAACAATAGTGAGGTTGGCCCAGGATCAGGCAGTGTTTCGTTCGACTGTGCATAAGGTCGCTATGAGTTGGTACCGACTCGATAACACCTAACAACAACAACAACATGTTGACATGGAGTTTTAAATGCTCTCGGAGATGAATCTGTATGTATTTACAGTACAAATCGTTATCGGCGTTGATGCTACACAACAATCAGAACACACATGCAAGCGTTCTTTACATTGTCTTTCCCAGGGTTTCTGTGTGCAAGAGACATCTATTTTTAGATTCCCTTCTAACCCTTGAAATTACCAACTGCACTGGTATTTCAAAATTACATTTTATTATTACTCTTACTTCTTCTCCCTTTTGGATATTTCTATTTTAATAATGCATAAAGTCTCCAAATCAAATAGTGTATTTCAGGCCTTTTTTTTTCAAGTATTAAAATGATTATTTGATCATAGTTTATGAAACTGAAAGTATTTGAAATTATACAAATGAACAGCAGTGCCTTGGCCACTTAAAACCAAGTATTAAATGATTTGATTATTAGGAAGCCCCTGAGTGGTGCCAATGACGTTGCAAGCTGCTAACCAAAAGGTTATGTCTGCTGACAAGTTTCTAACCAAAAGGTTATGTCTGCTGACTAAGCACCTCACAAGAAAGGCCTGGAGATCTACTTATAAAAAGTCAGCCGTGGAAAGTCCTCGGGTGCAGTTCTATTGTGATACACATGGCCTCTCCTTGCTAATGATAATATGATTGTGGGTCTTACAGAGAATCAGAACTTTTTCTGTGAAGTTTTTGACTTTTCAACCCTGGACATTTTACCTTCTTGGTCCCTCATCTCCAAGTATATATGTAATAATTTTTTAAATTATATTTCACAACTGCTTTGGTATAAAGACAAATATAATCCAGGGTGGATTCGTTATCCTGTATTCATTGTTATATTTATTTTTTCTTCTGATTCTAAGAGAAACTAAAATGAAAATCTGGATGGGTCCCTAAAAGTTTCCTGGGTAAGCCACCGTGTGCCTACTGTGTCAAATGGAGGAGCCAGCCCTGCACTGCAGTATAGGAACTCCTTCAAAATTATTTACAGAAAATCATCCTTTAAGTCTCATTAAAAATTTATATACTCTCCAATGTGATCTAGTTTTTTGGTTCAAAGCTCTAGTTTATAAAAGTTGATTCTGAATTTGTACAGAAAAAAAAATGGTACTTCAAAAAAAAAAAAAACCATTTGATTGGAGTAGACAAATTAAGAAAGTCCATTTCAGCACTCAGTGTTAAAGACTATAAAAATGAGAAGATTTACGTAAAAAATAGAATCTTTTGTTTTGTTGGATTGGTTTTTAATCTTACTTTGGAGGAAGAAAGGTTAGTTCGCTTTTTCTCCAGGCCTCATCTTCCATTTTCCAGGAAAACCCTGTCACCCACAGAGGAAAAGCACATTTCTAAGAAAGCTTTATGAAATGTAAAATGAAACTTACATTATAGTTTTGAAAAAAAAGAAGAAGACATGAAGCAAGCACAGCAATCTGGGGCAAAAATCAACCCAGAGAAGCAATTCTTGAGTGGGAGAGCCCTCTTTAATTTATTTAGGAAAAGATTGATTGCACATGATCTGTTTGCTGTTATTTGACATATGTGTCTTCATCTAACACAAAAATAAAGGGGCAGCACAAAACCCGTGGTCTTTTCTCCTGTTCTGCTCTTTAATATGTGCTTTTGCAATGTGTTTCTCATTAAATAATGTTATTGTTGTTAAGTGCCATTGAGTCAGTTCTACCTATAGTGATCCTGTATAGGGTTTCTGAGGAGCAGCTGGTGAGCTTGAACCGCTGACCCTGCAGTTCAAATGGCTTTGCAGTCTGATGCATTTAACTCCCAGCACCATACCAGGACTCCTATTAAATGATATCTAATATTTAAAAAGGGAAAGAGAGAATAATTAAGCTCAATTAAAAAAAAAAAAAGGAATCTATGTGCTTTGAGACTGTAGAAAAAATAGGGAAGGCGAGGGAAGTGTTGGATTTCACTGGGGAGCTGTCCTTGCGGAGGCTGGCACAGCTGTGCCTTTCATCCTGGTTTTGGCTTCTCTAGAACATGCTGGTGGAAATTGAGCAGAAGGTGGTGATCTTATCGGAGCTCTCCGTCCACAATGAAAATCTGCTGCTGGAGGGTAAGGCGCACACCAAGGACGAGGCTGAGCAGCTGGCAGTGAAGCTGAGAACACTGAAGGGGAGTTTGCTGGAGCTACAGAGAGCTCTGCATGACAAGCAGGTCAACATGCAGGTAAGGGTTTGGAGTCATCCAGGCTGCTGGACATCCACGCACTGTTTGCGGCTTCTGAGTCAGGAGACGTAACAGAAGAGGTGGTACCCCTCCACACAAACATTTCTGTGTGTTTTTTCAGTCTACACTCTGACTCAGGCGTATATTTTCAAAGATGTTCTAGAAGGACCGTTGAACCATAGACCGGAAGACTGTGCAGTGTGGGAAAAGTAATACAAATGAAAACAATTTCCCAAATGTAGCAAATAGACTGTTTAAAAAAAAAAAAAATCAACATAAGTAATGGATTGAGAAACATGTCCTAGGCCGTGTTTGCATTTTTCATTAATTTCTCCTGCCATCCGCTTTTCAGATAGACTCATGCTATTTGATTGCATGCCCACAATTTTAGAACTGGCACGTAACCCAACGGACTTGTACATTCCCACTGTCTAGCAGTCTTAGTGTGGTACTGGACTGCAAGGTCGGTTTGAATGGCAAAGTCAGCAGTTCAAGTTCACTAGCCATTCCCTGGAAATCCTATACAGGGTCACTGTGAGTAGGAACCAACTCGATGGCATTTCACAACAGCAACTGTCATGCAGTGACTTTTCTGTTGTTGTTAGGTGCTGTTGATTCACACTGTATGTGTCAGCCTGTCATTGTTGCCTTTGTACCAGTCCATCTCATTGGATAGCTTTGTGGTGTTGTTAAGTGCTGTCAAGTCAGTTGCAACTCATAGCGGCCCTTATAGGATTTTCTAGGAGGGGCTGGTGGCTTTGAATCACCAATCTTGTGGTTATCAGAACGGTGCTTATCCTACAATGCCTCACCAGGACTCCTGGGTCACTTGAGTCCTTCCTTAGTAATGATTTCATCCGACAGCCCTGCAGGTTTAGGGGATAATATTCGCCTGGCATATCTTAAATATTTTAACTCGCCTTTGATTTCAAACTTTCTGTCTTTACTTTTCAGACTTGTCTTCTATAAAGAACATTTATCTATAGTTTGTTGGTTTTAGAAATTTATTGTATCAGAAAAATTTCTGATTCTTTAATGTCAAATTGAGTCCACTTGAATTTAATGTGATTTCTTTACGTCTATTATTTTAATGTTTGCTTTTTATTTTTGCCCTTCTCTTTTTCATTCTCCCTTTTAGCCTCTGTCTTTAAGTTATGGTGCTTTTTTTCCTGCTTTGTGTGAGTGCATTTTGTTTTCCCTCTAATTTTTTATCATGCGTATCTATGACAGTGTAAGTTAATATCTTAATATCCTTACAGATCAGGATAAATACCTTGCAACACTTTTACTCCGATCCCTGTACATGTGGCTCACATCCTTTCGTTGCCCAATATTTTAATGCTGGCCTCTTAGCATCCCCAGAAGTTAGTTACACTCTTATTATTACTGGAGTCCTGGGGAGGCTCTGCAGGATGAACACTGAACTACTAACAGCAAGGTTGGTGGTTCAAGCCCACCAGCTGCCCCTTAGAAGACATGAACAGGGTCACTCTGAGTTGGAACCGACAATGACACTTAACAACAGCAACATTGTTAGTAGTATCAAATCCACCAGTGGCTTGGAGGCAGAAAAAGAGATTTACAACCTCTGAGTTGCTGTGTGTTGGGATCATCTCAGTGGCAATGGGTTTGGTTGGGTTTTTGTTGTTGTTGTTCTTCATTATTATTACACTGTATAGAAAATCAAGCAAATATTTATTGAGAAGTTGCTTTGTGCCAGCTATTCTATGTGGAGGAGTGGAAGAGCCCAGTGTTAGGGAATTTTAGCTAGGGAAATACATAATAAATAAAATCAAAAAGCAAGTGGTAAGTTAAAGGTGATGAAAGAAGTTGGGGTGAACAGGGAAAGACAGGGTGGGCTGGCCAGAAAGTGTCTCTGAGGTTCCATTTGAAGGCATAAACCATGCAGACACAAGGAGAGAGTCCCAGACAAGGAAGCAAACAAGTACGAAGGCTCTGAGGTTGGATAAGACCTGGGTGTTCAGGGAGGTCAGGTAGCTGGAGCGGTGTGAGCCAGAGGGAAGTGGTGGCAAATGAGGGGGAAAAGGTAAAAGGGTCCCAACAGTAAAGGACCTTGATGGCATCAAATGGTGTTTTGCCTTTCTTCAGTGGGAGAGGAGAAGTTATTCAAGTTTGGTAGAACAGGAGTTAACACTGGAGTGGAAGCTGAGGGGCCGTTTAGAAGCAATAATAGTGTAGGCATGGAGATGATTGAGAAGATAGAAGCTGAGGAGTCGGTATTAGGGAGAAGGAGGTACTTAGTTTAGTTCACTTGGACATAGTCTAGTTTGGGATAGATTATGTTTGAGATGCCTTTGAAATGTTCAAGAAGTGGGTGGAGTTGTGGGGAGAGACCTGGGCTGGAGTTATCCATCTCTGATGGCACTTCTGTGATGAGATCACCAAGGGAGTGAGAACAGACCCAGAAGACGATGATCCTAGGCCCTGGGCCATGTCAGCATGAAGGGTGTGGAACATGTGGAGGAGCTCACAAAGGAGAGGGAAAAAGAAAAGCCCGTAACTAAAGAGACTGGCTCCACCCCGATGAAGATGGAAGAGCCTGTGGGGTCCAGTGCTGCTGACCGGGGAGATAAAAGAGGACTGGGAACTGACCACTGGACTTACATAGCAGCATGGTGGCCATTCATGACCTCAGCTCTCAGTGGAGTCAGGGAGGCAGGAAGGATGCAGAAACGGAAGTGAAGAAGTAGTGGACGATGGGTACAGGGAACTCTTTCCAGGAGTTTGTCTGTAAAGGGTACAGAAAAATGGGCTGATAAGCTGAAAGAAGTTGAAGGTCAAGATAAAGTTGGTTTGTTTCCTTTGAAGATCAGAACAACAATAGCATGTTAACAAGTGAGTGGAAATGACTCACTTGGAAGAAAGTATGAGATTGAAGTTGAAGTGTGGTCTTAGAGGTCCAGTAACAGGAGAGAAAGCAGTGTCTGGAGACAAGCTCTGCCTGGGACGGAAGTTGCATGGTAGAAACTTTCTGGAAGTTCTCTGTGACTGTTTTCTTGGTGTGGTGATGATTGTTCTGAATTTCTTATGTGTGTAAGTTTTTTGAAACTCTAAAGAAGCCAAAAGAAAAGGAGACTCTTCTAAGTTTTAACTAGTATTTGCACAACACTTACTATGCCCTACTCAGAAAGCTGGTATAAAGTAAGGGGTGGGCTGGTACTCACATGCTTGGGAAGCATTGAAGCCCCTGGGTGGCCTTTGACTCCTAGCCAAAAGGTTGGTGGTTCGAACCCACCCACAGATGTCTCAGAAGATAAACCTTGCAGTCTTCTCCCGAGTCGTGGAGGGAAGTTCTAGTCTGCACACATCGGTTTGCCATGATTCAAGTGAACTATCCAGCAACTAACAAGAAGCTACACACTGGTACTCGAATGCACCCACAGTGGTTAAAGAAGGCCAGGCCACAAACTCCAGGGCCTTAGGGCTTGGGAAGGAACTCAAAATGAGTAAAGCAGGCTGGTGAGTCAGACCTTGACTAGCTGGGCTTACGGAAAAATAGTAGCTGCATCCGAGCTCCAGCTATTGTCATACCAGTTCTGCCAAGACCTTGAGTTTCTGAAGAGAAAGGAATTTTGAATTTTCATCTAAAATCTCCCAATTAATAAATGTTTTCATTCCACTCAGAAATTTAAAAAGAGTCTGTGCACCAAACCAAATCGGGCTGCCAGCCCCACTTACTCATGGGCCATTGCTTTGCAGCCAGTGGTGCCTATCCTGGGTGTGCCAGTTATTAACTAGAGGTCCTAGGGCACATGCTCCCTGTACTTCCCGCCACCTTTCTTACTGGGAGGCTTCTTCCTCTGTAGACTTGAGGTAAGAATAGTATTTACCTTAGTAAATTTGTCAGGAGGTTTTTAATGCAAGCAGTTGCTCAAGTTATAGTGATTGTAATCATTGATGACAGATGATCTCTAGACCACATTGTTTGAGAGGCAAGGACACCTGGAGTGCTCAAAGATTGGTTTTGAGCCATGCCGGGCTGGGCTCAGTACAGTGACAGCCTTCTGTGGTGCCTCATTTAGAAACCATCACTGTATTCCTTGAATCTTACAATATGTCTTGTTAAGCCCATGGAATGATTCATCAGTTGTGTATACTTCTGCTTACATGTTGTTGTTAGGTGCCGTTGAATTGATACTGACTCATATCCACCTTACGCACAACCGAATGAAACACTGCCCCGTCTTATTCCAATTTCACCATCATTGCTAGTGCGTGAGTCCCTTGATGCTACCACTGTGCCAATCTATCTCGTTGGGGGTCTTCCTCTTTTTGCTGACCCTCCACTTTACCAAACATGATGTCCTTCTCCAGGGACTGGTTCCTTTTCACACTATGTCCTAAATATGAGGGTATAATCTGGCCATACTGGCTTCTAAGGAGCATCCGGCTGATGCCCAACACAGATTTGTTTATTCTTCTGGCAGTCCATAATACTCCTAATATTCTTCTCCAACACCATGACTCACATGCATCATTCTTCTAAGGTTTTCCTTATTCATTGACTGGCTTTCATGTGTCTATGAGATCACTGAAAATACCATGGTTTGAATCAGGCTCACCTTAGTCCTCAAACTGACATCTTGGCTCTTGAGCACTTTATCAAAGATCTTGTACAGCAGATTGACCTCAGCTTGCATGCTGTTGTTATTAAGAGCCGTTGAGTCGGTTCCGACTCATGGCTACCCTGTATAGGGTTTCTGAGGAGCAGCTGGTGAGCCTCAACTGCTGACCTTGCAGTTCAATCCGACCTGGCAATCTAGTGTGTTAATCTGCAGCGCCACACCATGAAACACCACTCTTCCCTGCCACACCTTGCTCCATCCACCTGGCTTCCTTATTGCTCTCCTTCTGTCTGAAATGCTGAGTGTTTTTCACCCTGGGGCCACTGCATCAGCTGTCCCCTCCCCCTAGATCTCTGCCCCACTTGTGTTCTTATTGGGAACTCAAGACAACAGCTTCTTTCTCTGAAGATGCCTTTCCGAGCACCTGAAGAGAAGCCCATCTCATCCATTTTCTGTCCCTTGACTCAGACCCGTTTTCTTTGTTTCGTTGGTCAGCATCTCACCTGACCCTGTTCTCTGTTTTGTTTTGTTTTTTTCTGTCTCCCCACCAAGGCACTTGTCTGCTTCTTTTTCACAGAAGACCCCAGTACCTGTAAAACAGGGCTTGGCACAGAGTGGGTGCTTGATGAATATTTAGAGAACGGTTATATTAAGATGATATAATGTAACTGAGGGTATATAAACAGGAGCTCTGGTAGCGCAGTGGTTACGAATTGGGCTGCGAACCTTAAGGTCAGCAGTTCAAAACTACCAGCTGCTTCACGGGAGAAAGATGAGGCTTTCTACTCCCGTCAAGATTTACAGCCTTGGAAACCTTGTACAGGGTCGCTATGGGTCGGAATCGACTCGATGGCACTTAACAACAACAACATATAAACAGGAGCTCAGGCTTTCTTCGCTCTTCTCTGCTCCAGGCACAGAGAGGTTAATTGTTGAATCTGAGATGACTGCTCACAAGTCTTGAAGAGCCGCATTGCTATTCACCTAAGTAGGACATAGAACACTGTCTTTATGGACTGTGTTATTCCAGCTGACCTAGATGTCCCCTGAGTCTTATGTCCTCAAGCCCTGTGACTCATTCCCTCAGGGTGTTTGGTTATGGCTAAGAAGTTTCCTGAACTTTGTCCCTTGTATGTTCTGTAATATCCTCGAATAAATTTGCAGCATATATGAATACTTATGTAGAAATGTCCTCTACCAAGCCTATTCATACATGTGGGTGTAGCTAGCATGTCTACCTATGTATCTACTCATAGACGTTGTTTGCTCTGACTATTATTGCATGATTGTGTATGTAATAGTAGTCTCCTTTCTCCTTTGTTGTGTTTTGTGCTTGTGCACCTCACAGTGACTTCCTATCACTGGCCATGTTGAGTTGCCCTCCCCTTATGTACACTGACTTTTCCTTTTACCGAAGTTTGTCTACTCTCCACATAGTGATTATTTTTTTTTCCTCCTGCCCCTTCTTAATATCCACCACATAAATAAAACAAAGGGAAAAAAACGGATGATCATATCAGTTGATGCAGAGAAAGCACGTGATAAAATCCAATACCCATTCCTGATAAAAACTCACAGGAAAATAAGAATAGAAGGAAGATTCCACAACATTGGGGCATATACACAAAGCCAAATAATGTTGATAAAACATTATTATCAACAAAGAGAACAGGAATTAGATACTGAGACTGTCTGTCACCACTTCTATATTGTATTAGAATGCCTCGTCAGAGCAATAAGACAAGAAAAGGAAATAAAAGGCATCTAATTGGAGTCCTGATGTGGTGCTGCAAGTTAATGCACTGGACTACAAGGTTGGTTTCAACCATAAAGTTGGTGGTTCAAGCTCACCAGCTACTCCCCAGAAATGCTTTACAGCGTTACTATGAGTTGGAACCGACTTAACAGCACATAACAACAAAAACAACAAATGGAGCTCTGGTATGGCATATAGAATAAGCACAGGACTGCAAGGTTGATTTGAACCATAGGTGGTTGTTCAAACCCACCACCCACTCCTCAGAAATCCTATACAGGGTCGCTACTAGATGAAAAATTTCAACAAACTGATTCAGCACTGGAGTCACTCAGTCATGTATGCTAGGAAATTTGGAAGACAGCTGCCTGGCCAACTGACTGGAAGAGATCTATATTTGTGCCCATTCCAAACAGAGGTGACCCAACAGAAGGCGGAAATCATTAGACAATATCATTAAAATCCCATGTAAATAAAATTTTGCCAAAGAGGTCTCAAAAATGACTGCAACTGCACATTGACAGAGAACTTCCAGAGGTTCAAGCCAGATTAATAAGAGGACATGGAACGAGAGATATCATTTCTGATGTCAGGTGGATCTTGGCTGAAAGCAAAGAATACCTTAAAGATGTTTACTTGTACTTTATTGATTGTACAAAGGCTTTCAGTTGTGTTGATCATTACAAACTATGAACAACATTGTAGAGAATGAGTATTCTGGAACACTTTTGTGTTCATGAAGAACCTGTATATAAAGCAAGAAGCAGTTGTTTGAACAGAACAAGAGAACACTGAATGGCTTAAAATTAGGAAAGGTGTGCACTAGGGTTGTATTCTTTCACCATACTTACTCACTCTGTATACTGAGCAAATAATCCAAGAAACAAGATTATACAAAGATAAACATGGCATTAGTATTGGAAGAAGACTCATTAACAACCTGTGATATGCAGATGATGTAACTTTGCTTGCTGAAAGTGAAAAGGACTTAAAATGCTTGCTGATGAAGATAAAGTCCACAGCCTTTGGAATGGGTTGCACCTCAATGTAAAGAAAACAAACATCCTCACCACTGGACCAATAAACAACATCAAGATAAATGGAGAAAAGGTTGAAGTTGTCAAAGACTTTATCTTTCTTGTCTTAACCGTTAACACTCATGTAATCAGCAGTCAAGAAATCAAACAACATATTGCGTTAGGCAGATATGCTGTAAAAGACCTCTTTAAAGTGTTGAAGAGCAAAGATTTGAGGACTAAGGTGTGCCTGACCCAAGCCAAGGTATTTTAAATAACCTCATATACGTGCAAAAGTTGGAAAGTGAATAAGGAAGGCTGTAGAAGAATTGATGCATTTGGATTGTGGTGCTGGAGGAGACTACTAAAAGTATAATGAACTGCCAAAAGAATAAACCGATATGTGTTGGAAGAAGTACAGTCAGAGTGCTCCCTAGAGGCCAGGATGTCCAGACTTCATCTCTCATACTTTGGACATATTATCAGGAGGGACCAATGCCTGGAGAAGGATATCATGTTTGGTAAAATGGAGGGTCAGAGAAAAAGAGGAAGACCCCCAACAAGATGGATTGGCACAGTGGCAGCAGCAATGGACTCAAATGTAGCAACGATTGTGAGGTTAGCACAGGACTGGGCAGTGTTTCATTCTGTTGTGCATAGGGTCGCTATAAGTCAGTGCCAACTCATTACCACCTAACAACAACGTAAGTCAGTACCGACTCAACGGCACTTAAAATCAACAACAAAATTGGTAAAGAAGTGAAACTTTTTTTGTTTGCATATGATATGATCCTATACATAGCAAGTCCCAGAGACTTATAACAAAAAAAGCTACTTTAACTAGTAGAAGGATTCAACTAAGTGTCAGAGAATAAGATCAACGTAGAAAAATCAGTCTATATTAACAAAGAGAACTCTGAAAGTGAAGTCAGGAAATAATAGCCATCCAAAAGACGAAATACTTATGAATCAACCTAAACAGACCCAGAACAGACGTATACAAAGAAAACTGCAAAACACTACTGCAATAAACCAAGAGGGCTACATAAATGAAAGAATATACTATGCTCATGGATAGAAAAATCTTTATAAATGAAACACATGCTGATACAAGATAGAGACCTGGTGTGATACGGTGGGATACAGCACCGGACCATAAGGTTGGCAGTTCAAACTCACCAGTCACTCCTTGGAAACCCTTATAGGGCCACTATGAGTCAGAACCGACTTGACGCACTTAACAACAACAGAGACGTTAAATGTGGCAGGGTCATGCTTTCGTAGGAGAAGCATAGTAAATGATAAGGGCTAATGCTTCTGAGGCCTGGTGTGGCACTGTAGGATAAGCACTGAACTGATAACCATAAGGTTGGTGGCTCAAACCCACCAGCTGTTTTTCGTAACCTTTATATAGAGTCATTATGAGTCAGAACTGAATCCACGGCACTTAACAACGACAATAATGATCTGAGAAAAATTTTCTTTTGTGTGACTTTAAAAACAAAAAAAATCAGGCAAATTCATAAAAGAATTTAGAATTACAATCCTGTGGGAAAATTTTCAGGTTCTTTTCTGGTAACCACATGGGTTACCTACAAGCCCTAGCGTCTAAATAGAAAACTAGAAAACTTTCTGTGTGGGGTGTTTCTCTATGTAATCATCTTTTTATTGTTCTCTCTACTGCAGATGCAGTAGTAAATTCTATGGGTTTTGTGTTACAATTTTTTTTTTTTAATGTAGCTATGTGTCTAAAAGAGCCACCTTGGTTTTATGGCAGAGACCACACCAAAGCAGTCTTGGTGCCTTTGGGGCTGAGGTTTTCCTGTGGGTAGCATGACCCTTGATTTTTACCTCATTCAAAGCAGGGGACATCCCAGGAGAAGGAGGAGAATGATGCTGACCTAGCGGCCACCCAGAGCCCCGGGGTCCAGGAGTGGCTGACCCACGCCCGCACCACACGCACCCACCAACGACAGAGCAGCCTCCAGCAACAGAAGGTAAACCGCTTCCGACTTGTCGCTCAGGGAGAAACCAGAGCGAAGTGTTACAGAAGGGTACATCCGCGTGACAAAGCGTCTCTACTGTCTTAACTCTTTAGATGGAAATAAAACATGGCTAACTTTCTAGGTATGCCCTTGTGACCACTGGGACAACTGGTCACTTTAAAGAGCCAGTCTTTACTAAAAGCCTGAGCTTAGGTTACATATGGTGATACTCGATTATAATACAAATTATCATGGATACTTCCTTATTTTCACATCTACCCTCATTTGCATCTGTTTTGTTAAGATAAAACCTTTTGGACTAGATGAAATTAGTAGGGAAGACCTTTGAGAATGGGTAAAAGTCAGAACTACATTTTTTTTTAATTGAACACATTTGTTTTTAACAATAAAACCTTGACTAGAATAGTTTAGAAACCAGGCCTCAGAAAATTGGTAAAATTCTGGATTATACGTTTCTAAATGAAATCCAGCTTTATTTTTCATTCTAAAGTTTATATCATCACAAAACAGACTTTCAAGTTGCTACTTTATGTGAAAAAAGAAAAATTTGATGGATAAGAATGAATTGTCATTGATACCTTGACTTTTATATAAAGGACATATTAAAATATTTTATTTTCTAGAGTGAAAATACTGATCATAAATACTGGAAAAAGTAAAATCTAGTCCATTTATAATGCAATTTATCATGTAAGCAAAGGAGTTCCGAGAACTATGATCTCTCAAGACTATCCTTCAAGGTTGTTAAGAGATCTACCTTCTCTCAAAACTCTATCCCCAAGAAGACAATCTTGATATAGAAAAGTGAGTGTGTTTTGTGCCACTTGGGGGCACCATTGCACAGCAAAATGTTCTTTTTTCATCCTGACCAACAAATGCCTCAGCTGTCTGCCTCACCAAACCTAACATGAGATGTAAAGTACATGGGAGACATGTTTGAGACAGACCTGCACAACGGAGATTGAGGTTTTTACACATTGAAGGTCTGTTGGCATCCCTGTTTCAGCAAGTCTGTTGGTGCCATTTTTCTAAGAGCATACACTCACCTCCTGTCTCAGCATCCCATTTCAGGCACTTCAGACTGTTGGTGGAAACATTCCATTTCTCCACAACCTTGTTATTGTTGTTGTTGTTAGGTGCCATCGAGTCAGTACCGACTCACAGCGGCTCTGTACACAACAGAATGAAACCCTGCCCAGTCCTGTGCCAGCCTCACAATTGTTGCCACACTTGTGCCCATTGCTGCTACCATGGTGCCAATCCATCTTATTGGGAGTCTTCCTCTTTTTCTCCATTCTACCAAGCATGATATCCTTCTCCAGATACTGGTCTCTCCTGACAGTATGTCTGAAGTATGCAAGACAAAGTCTGGCCATCCTGGCTTCATAAGGCTTTGTTGTTGTTGTTGTTATGTGCCGTGGAGTTGGTTCCGACTCATAGCAACCCTGTACAGGGTTTCTGAGGCTGTAAATCTTTATGGGAGCAGAGAGCCTCATCTTCCTTCTGCAGAACAGCTGGTAGTTTCGAACTGCTGACCTTGCAGTTCACAGCCCGATTCGTAACCACTACACTACTATACATTTAATAGACAACCGTTTAATGAGACATAACGTCTACATTCACTTGGAATCTAAAATGTGTATCTGTATGTGATGCACTTTATTGTGATAGTTGTTTCATTGTGGTGGTCTGGAACTGAACTTGCAATATCTCTGAGGTGGGTCTGTCGTTAACTGAACGAGACTTCTTTGTGATGGCTAGCTTAAAAACTGCCTACTAAAGGTCCTGAGAATATGCTTGACAGAGAATTCTGACTCAAATGATGAAGTTACAAGGATGTCTGCCCCTGACCTTCCCTTGAGCAGGAGTTGGAGCAGGAGCTAGCCGAGCAGAAGAATCTCCTCCGGTCGGTCGCCAGTCGCGGGGAAGAACTTCTCACCCAGCACTCGGCTGCAGAGACCTCGGCCACAGGGTACGTTCTCACACATGTGAACTGTTTGTTTCTTCATTGTGCTTGGCTGACATTTGAAGACATGTGAGCCTCACGTAAAAATTTATCCTATAAAACTGAATAGTTTGTTTGCCCTTTGCGATACTGAATTTGTTTGTATTTGCACGATTTTGTTGCGTTGTTGTTGTTGTTGTTAAGTGCCGTCGATTCGGTTCTGACTCATAGCAACCCTGTACAGAGTTTCCGAGGAGCAGCTGGTGAGCTTGAACCCAAGCCAACCTTGCAGGTCAAATGGCTTTGCAGTCTGGCGCATTAACCCACAGCGCCACACCAGGTCTCCCTCAGAGTTGTTAAGGTGCCATCAAATCAGTTCTGACTCATGGCAACCCTGTATAGGGTTTCCAAGGAGCAGCTGGTATATGAACCACCAACTTTGTGGTTAGCAGTCTGATGTTGATCTACAGCGCTACACCAGGAAAAATGTAAATAAATCAGAATTAACATTTGGCCAATTTGGGAGTGATTTATTTATTTATCTATCTATCTATCTATCTATCTATCTATCTATCTATCTATCTATCTATCTTACTTTACTTACTTTACTTACTTACTTACTTACTTACTTAAAATTTAATCAGTGCTAAGGAGTGCTCCAGAGCTCTGGTAGCATATGGTTACAAATTGGGCTGCTAATCTCAAGGTCAGCAGTTGGAAACTACCAGCTGTTCCATGAGAGAAGGCTGAGGCTCTCTGCTCCTGTTAAGATTTACACTATGAGTCGAAACCAACTCCACGACAAATAACTACCACCACCACTACCACCAGGGAGTGGTCCATATGATAAGCACTGGACTGCAAACTACAGGGTTCACAAATCTAGCCTGTCACTGACTCTGTGGTAGAAAGATGAGGCTTTCTGCTCCCACAAAGATTTAAAGCCTGGGAAATCTTATACATGGTCTCTATGAGTCAGACCAACTTGAAAGCACCTGACAACAAAATGAGGCTGTAGGATATGCATTGGATTGCAAGACAAAAGACCAATAGTTCAAACCCACCAGCGGATCCTCAGAAACCCATACACGGTTGTTAAGAGTCAGAACTGGCCTGACAGCACTTAACAACAACAAGTGAGTACAATTAAAGTAAATGGATGTATATTTAAGTGTATTCAGAACTTCAGAAACCAAAATTAAAAGGGGCTCACGCACTCCGATTCAATGGACTTACAAGAACAGATAAAAGAAGACATTCTTAAAAAGGGGAAAAAAACCTAGTAAAACAGGTTCCCAATAAATCTCAATGTAGAAGGAGAAAGGCAAATGCTATTACGATATTTATAGTCAGGAATTCCATTGAAATAGCCTTAAAAGCAAGATTTTGTCAAAGATACAAAAATGTTTAAAATTTTTTGTGTTTTGTTCATTATACTTAGCAGTGCTGTAACAGACTCAAAATGAGACTCGCACATTATTTTGCCTGCTGATTCTAATTAGAAACTTGCCCCAACTTTGCATTTTTCAGTTTCCTAAGGAGCTCTGGTAGCGTAGTGGTTACGAATCGGGCTGCGAACCTTAAGGTCAGCAGTTCGAAACTACCAGCTGCTCCGCGGGAGAAAGATGAGGCTTTCTACTCCCGTAAAGATTTACACCCTCGGAAACCCTGTACAGGGTCGCTATGGGTCGGAACCGACTCGATGGCACTTAACAACTACAACATTCCTCCCAGATACTTACTCATCCCTCATAGCCTTCTGAATATGTTTGTCAAAGGCTCTATTTGTACAAAGAACCTGTGTACACATTGGCTCTTCTCCCTGCCTATAAAAACCCAAAGCCACTCACAGTGACCTTGTATTGGATCTCTGAGATGGTCGATCTTTATGGGAGAAGCCAGCCTCATCTTTCTCCTGAGGAGCAGTTGGTGTGCTTGTGGTTAGCGGCCTAATGCCTAGCGGCTCTTTGTTGTTGTTGCTTTGTGCCATTAAGTTGGTTCAGACTCATAATGACCCTGTATAGGGTTTCTGAGAAGCGGCTGGTGGATTTGAACCACCGACCTTGCAGTTGGTGCTTCAGTGCTTCTTCTGCAGTGCCACCACATAATCACAAAACCTAGGGGTAGGAACCTTCTGCAGCTTTCATCTCATGATTTTCTCCCCACTTTCCTTGGTCTTTGACTTTGGAAAGGACCCAGATGAAAGGCAGGCAACTATAACTTGCTCTTTCAAATACAAAAAAATATTTTTTTAAATGTACAAGAACTGGCTGTCTGTAAAAGATTCACTTTAAAGACTGGTTATCATTTTTTTTAACATGTATTTTATTGTGTTTCTGATGGGTCTACCCAAAGTATACTCATGGAAACAGGTTCCCATTCAACAATTCTTACACATCGTTGATCAGTGATGTTGGTTGCCTTTTTCACTTTCTATCAGCATTGCCATTGCTTGCTTCCCTCACGTGACTCTGTTTTGTCTTGTTGCACTTCAGAGATACCTCCTGTGTCTTTTATGAATGGGAGGTTTGTGGCCACACCATGTTGCCACCCTATTGGCTCCATTTTTCCAGCACCCCGTCTTCGCTTCCTGTCCCTGCATCAGTCTTACATTCTTACAGTCTTTCACACTGCTTTCATGACATGATTGCATGCTTAGTGGACTGACATAATGTGAACATACACTGGAAAACCCAAAACTGCATGTGACTCGCTTTACAGGACTAGTCGGTAACTGAGCCAGCAGAAGCCCCAGCGATTGCCTCTATTTCCCTACAGTTGTTCCGTCCCATTAACTTCGTCTCACTGCCCCTACCACGCCAGCCTGCTCACCCAAGCTTTTGAGGACCCCTCGAGCATTTGGTCTCACATAGTCCCTTTTTAAAAAAAAATCACAGTATTCAAGGATGACATTTTTTACTTTTTGAATGAATCTGCTATTTAGTTAGAAGATATCTTCAAGCGATCGCTTCAGTTCGTGATTTAAAAAGTGTCACAGAGTGTGGTGTTTAAAGGGTTTCTGTTTGTGAAATATATGTCTCAAAAATAATAAAAATTTCAGAAGGTAAAAAAAAAAAAGTATCACTGAGCGAGAGTCTCGGAGTTTCCTCCAGTCTCAGTGGATCCAGTAAGTCTTCTGGAGTTTTTTTGGAATCTGAAGTTCTGTTCCTCATTTTTTTCCCTTTCTCTCAGGGTCTGTCTGAGCAGGACATTTAGTATTGGTAACCAGGCACCATCGAATTCTTCTGGTCTCTGAGGCGGTTCATGGAGTTAGTCTTAGAGATTCTTGAATTTCCTTCTTTAAACTCTTTATTTTTTATACAAATTCTTTAGAAAAAGTACCTTCTATGTAGTAGTTCAGCCACTTCTTTCTGGTCTTAGCTAAGCAAACAAATGACCACAAATTAACTGATAGCCAGAAACAAAGGGAGGGAAAGATGATAGAGTGATAGAGAGAGAAAGATAAAATAGCAGAGTAGCATTGCTAGGGAAAAAACCAAAGCAAACCCACAAATTTTGTGCTTGCTAGTTAATTTTCTAAGCCTACCAAATATAAATTGGTTAAAAAAAAAAAACAAAAAACCTTCAGGAAGGGCATGACCTTTATATATTGAATTTGTATATTGAATTTGTAACAAAGAATTCGTATCACCTTTGGTATGAATTCATTATCTAAAGAGTAAGTTGTTGTTGTTAAGTGCCATTGAGTTGGTTTGGACCCATAGCAACCCTATATAGGATTTCCAAGGAGCGGCTGGTGGGTTTGAACCAGCAACCTGAGGTTCAAACTGACCTTGTGGTCCAGCAAATTATCCTGCAGCACCACAGTAGGACTCCAAAGATTAAGTGCTGGGGCTTAATGACCTAAGTGTGTAAAAATGGCTTGTATCATTATCCATAAGCGCCCAAAGATGGAACTAGCCCTACAGATGAATGGATAAACAAACTGTGCCCAAAGCATGCAATGGATCTGACTCATCCTGAAAGCCACATTCTGTCTTATAAGGCAGGCTGTCTTTAAGGGTGCTATTTCAGGGCCTCCTTCCATGTTTTGCACTTTCATTCCATCACCTGGAACCTAGTGTGTTCTACTGTCTTTGAACACATTGTAAAAACTACCTACCAGTGACCTAGTAGAGTTTTAGGTTTGGGTTCTGCTTTGAGTGGGGTGTGGGTTGAACTGATTTGTGCACTCTTTCTCAAAACATACGAGTCTATAATCATACAGTGTATTTTCTGACTCAAAGTTACAATTGGAGTCCTGTGGGAGCACTGTAGAATATGCACTTAATCACAATGTTGATGGTTCAAACTCACTAACCACTAGTCGGAAACCCGAGACAAGGTTGTTGTGGGTTGTAACTGACCCAATGCACTTGATAACAATGACAAAAGTTACAATTAGTTTTTACTTTTATTAAAAACTGAGCTATTATCCGTGTATTTCTTTAAATTGTCAATCTGCAGCTTGAGATTCAACTATATTGTGGAAAAGAATGTATTTATTTTATGATGTTTTGAAATTTCTATTTTAAAGTGTAAACTAATGAGTAAAATCATCTAGTTCTAGCTTCATAGGCCAAGTCAAATGCACACAACAAACTGCTTGCCTCACAGCCCTTTGGCTCACATGATCAAAGTAGATTCTTTGTTCTTCTGATAGTGAAAAGCCCGCTGTGGTATCGCAGAAGTCAGAGGGGGAGAAGGCATCCACTGAAGACCAGATGAGGATGAAATGGGAAAGTCTCCATCAAGAATTTAGTACAAAGCAGAAACTATTGCAGAACGTCCTGGAGCAAGATCAAGAGCAAGTGGTATGAAAACCTTTGTGCTTGTATCTGTTTGCTGATATGAGAAGCATGGCACCCTGCTGTGGTGCTGTAGGATAAGCGCTTGACCATAAGGTCAGCAGTTCAAACTCACCAGCTGCTCCTC